TACCCCTTCGGATCCCTACCTTTGTATCTTTGTGGTAAATACCCAGTAGTGCAATTGCTGGATCGTATGGTAGCTCTATTTTCAACTGTTTGAGGAACCTCTTCCAGAGTGGTTGCACCAGCTTGCATTCCCACCAACAGTGTAGGAGGGTTCCCCTTTCTCTGCATCCCCGCCAACATCTGTCGTTTCCTGACTTAAAAACATGCTAATTTCTGACAGCCTGCTAACCCATTATCTTGAGGGGCTGGCCTATGATCTATATTAAACATAAATCAAAATACAGGCAATTGACTTCTGTAGTTTGAACTATCAGATGACAAGCTTTTTACTATAATAATCAGAAAAAGGAAGGAAAATAAAGAGTAGTCTAAGAAGAAGGGATATCATGAAAAAAGGTATAACAATGTGAATATACGTGGTCTAACAGAAAACAGCATCAGGAATAACTCAACAGGAACCTCAGAGGAGATCATGTGGCTACATTAAAAAGCTGAACTTTATTCCATAGAAAACGAGAAGAAATTAACACGTTTTAAGGAGGGACTATAACAACCAAATTTTCTGGAAAACTCATTCTGACAATCAAATAGCTGTTGAATACAAAGGAATATATACTGAAAGTAGGGAGAAGAGCTAGAAGGATACTACAAAAATATAGGAGGTCTCAGGCAAGGAAAATAAAAACAAAAATAAACTATTGGATCTACATCAAAATAAAAAGCTTTTGCACAGCAAAGAAAACCATCAACAAAACAAAAAGGCAACCTACTAGATGTTTCCCATTTGCAAATGATATATCCAATAAGGGGTTAGTATCCAAAATATATAAAGAACTTATATAACTCCACACTAAAAAAAACCAAAACAAATGATATGATTAAAAAATGGGCAGAGGATCTCAATAGACACTTTTCCAAAGAAGACTACAGGTGGCCAACAGGCCCACGAAAAGATGCTCAGTATCACTAATCATCAGGGATGATCAAAACCACAATAAGACACCACCTCACATCAGTCAGAATGGCTACTATCAAAAACATAAATAAGTGTTGGGAGAGAATGTGGAGTAAATGGAACGCTCATGCACTGTTCGTGGAAAGGTCAATTGGTTCAGCCACTGTGGAAAACTGTATGGAGGTTCCTCCAAAAATTAACAATAGAGAAACCATATAATCCAGTATTTTCTCTACTGAATATTTACTCAAAGAAAATGAAAACACTAATTTGAAAAGATATATGCACCCCTATGTTTATTGCAGCATTATTTACAATAGCCAAGATAAGTAAGCAACCCAAGTGTCCAGCAACAGATGAATGGATACAGAAGATGTGGTGTATATATATACACACACATATATAATACACACATACAATGGAATATTACTCAGCCATAAAAAAGAATGAGATCTCGCCATTTGGGACAAAATGGATGGAACTAGAGGGCATTATGCTAAGTGAAATAAGTCAGAGAGAGAAAAACAAACACCATGTGATTTCACTTATATATGGAATTCAAAAAACAAAACAAACAAAAAACACCTTTTTTTTCTTAAAGATTTTTATTTATGTATTTATTTGGGAGGGGGAGGAGGGGCAGAAGGAGAAGGAGAGAATCTAAAGCAGACTCCCCACTGAGCACAGAGCCCGATGTGGGGCTTGATCTCATGACCTGAGCAGAAATCAAGAGTTGGATGCCCAGCAGACTGAGCCACCCAAGTGCCCCAAAAACCAGACTTTTAAATACAAAGAAAAACTGATGGTTGACAGATGGGAGACAGGTGGGGAGATAGGCAAAATAGATAAAAAGGATTAAGAGATATAGACTTCCACTTATAAAAAAGTCATGGAGATAAAATAAAAAGAACAGCATAAGGAATATAGTCAATAATACGGTAATAATGTTGTATGTCGTGTGTATATACTAATATTGTAATAACGTTATATGTACGTAATAATGTTGCACGCTAACCACACTTATCATGGTGAGTATTGAGTTATGTACAGGATTGCTGTGCATCTGAAACTAATGTAACATTATATGTTAGTTACACTTCAATAAAAAATAAAGTGCAAGGGGGGTGGAGCAAGATGGCAGAGGAGTAGGAGACCTGGATGTCGCCTGCTCTCAGGAATTCAGCTGGATAGGGATCAAACCATTCCGAACACGTAAAAACTCAACAGGAGATCGAAGAGAAGAATAGCAAGAACTCTCTGAACAGAGAAGCGACCACTTACTGGAAGGTAGGACGTGCGGAGAAGTGAATCCGAGGCGATATTCGGGAGGATAC